TGCGTGCCCACCCTGGGTATCGAAACCACATATTTTAGAGTTATAAAACTTACTGCTGTGCCACTGCAATGATAAATGAGTTATTATTACAGTTTGATTATTTGTACATCTCCAAGAAGTTCTTGTATTACAGGAGAATGGTACATATCAGTGTATTAACCACTTGCAGGTTTACACGAGTAATAGCTGTACTCCTTATTATAAATAAATTATAACATTTTAAAACATGAGGCCCTCTATGAGAACAAAGTTAATAGTTCTGAATGGCAAGAGTTTGATACTCCTGTTGTATTACAACAAAGAAAGGTTTCAAAAACCTGGTACACAACGTTTTGTTTTCTGGAGTGGAGTGACAGCTAAAATAAGTGTGAGGGAGTACAGAAACTAAGAACGTTGCAAAAGGAGAAAGTGGTCAAGGAAAATCTGAATTCCAAAACTCATAATACAACCAGAAATTGAAAGGCAGGAGAATTGAACCCTTGTTAAATGATGTTGGATAAAGAGGAAATTAACATAAATATCCAAAAGCTGTAGAAAATATAGTGCAGGATAAGTGGGATTTGAGGTCGTTAACATTCTCATCTGTCAACAAAACAATAGCTAGTCGATTGTTGTTCTGTTAATGTACATTGTTGGAAGAAGATACGAGATATATTACTTATGTTAATATATAGAACCAACTGATTGTTGTTCTGTTAACGTTACATTGTTGGAAGAAGATACGAGATATATTACTTATGTTAATATATAGAACCAGCTGATTGTTGTTCTGTTAACGTACATTGTTGGAAGAAGATATGTGATATATTACTTATGTTAATATATAGAACCAGCTAATTGTTGTTCTGTTAACGTACATTGTTGGAAGAAGATACGTGATATATTACTTATGTTAATATATAGAACCAGCTAATTGTTTTTCTGTTAACGTACATTGTTGGAAGAAGATACGTGATATATTACTTATGTTAATATATAGAACCAGCTGATTGTTGTTCTGTTAACGTACATTGTTGGAAGAAGATACGAGATATATTACTTATGTTAATATATAGAACCAGCTGATTGTTGTTCTGTTAAGTACATTGTTGGAAGAAGATATGAGATATATTGATGAATTATGATCTATTTTTGTCTAAGTCTAAGGTTTAAGTTTAAAAGAATTTTGTACTCACCTAGTAGCCAGATTTTTGGTTTCTTAATTAACAGCTGTTTAGTTTCTTCTTCTGAAAATCCCATTTCTTCTTTAACAGAGAAGTTTGTTTGCTGGAAATATCAATTAAAAACCAAACAATTAAACTCTGCCACTAAAATGAAAACTTCTACGTCCACCTTTTTTTTTTATTACCACACTAATCATAATTTATGTTAACTTGAATGTTTTAAATAAAGAATTTAATGTAAACACATACAATTTAGGAAGGTGTGTAAATGAAGTCAGAAAGACTTTTATCTGTAAATACTTTGTAATATTTCTGCATTTGGTCGAGTAAAGTGATGCAAAAAAAACTTTAATTGAATAATTCCTTGCTTTACTTTGACAGCTTTTTGCCTGATAATGTTGAGATAATTGACAGAAAGTTTGAGGTAATTTTTTATCTCCTTTTAATTTCAAAATGTTTATTATATAAAAATAAAGAACACAGTACTAGTTTCAGTGTAACTAACTTCATACAATTATTGGATAACATAACATTGGTTGTGAAGTACTTAAATGTAAGACTTATCTAACATACATGTAAACATGGATTTGAATTTAACCAGGCTAAGTGACTATTTTATTAAAAAAAAAGTTTATCACAATCTACTATAAAAAGATGAAAAAGCCTTCAGTCTGTCATCCCGATATCTCGGCTGTTGTGATACCGATCAACACACAACTTGAACGAAACGATGTCGCTTTCTATCGTGACAAGCAAGCTTTTCTTTTTAAAATTCTTCCACCCATATATAAAACAGACGGTGTGCTACTTGGACATATATTTATATATGAAGGTAGGTTGGTAGAGATCGAAATAACATCAAATCAGGTATATACGTGCCCCACACTTGGTACACAAACATCATAATCAGTGGTTAAAAATCCCCATTACGCTTTCTTGGTTGTCAAGGAGACATATTGATGCAACCATAACCCTCGGCTACAACTCTATAACAACCCGCAGCACATTTCAATTCCCAAAATAAAGTTCACTTCTTCGGCTCAGAAAGACAGTCAAAAATAAAATACTAGAGATAGGATAGCCATTCTCCATTGTTACGAGATTATAATTAATTTTTATAAAACATGTTCATAAAACGTTTATTTAGATACAATTTTGAGAAGAAAATGAATCAATTTTTACTGTCATATGACAGGCTTGTATCGTATATAAATAGTACCTGTCAAAATATGATAAAAAACATGCTCACGACATTATCATATATAAATATTTATCAACACGTAAAAAAAAGCTTATCTCAGCATCATACGTGTATGGTACCTTTCAAAATGTTGTAAAAGAGCTTAACACAATTTCGTAGAAGAACAGTTGTAACTTTATAACACAGGCACGTCATCCTTCAATTAAAAGAGCTTAACACAATATCGTAGCCTGTGTTATAAAGTTACAACCGTTCTTAATTGAAGGATGACGTATAGTGATATTACCGTAAGCCCTCTTGGTGCTGTAATAAGGATGTGATTCAAATTATCCTCTCCTTTTCTGTACATTAATGTAAATGTTAAAGATGGAAAAAACTTGCATGGTCTTATAGAACAACAATATGGTAACTGTTTCAGTGAATATCATAGCTAACATTTTCGTTACTGACATCCGATCACAAAACTGTGATTGTTCTCTCATTCTTTCTTGAACTTATAAGGAAAATATTCAATGTCGGTATAGTTTGTTTTCTTGTCATGCAGACATTGAAGGATGACGTACCTGTGTTATAAAGTTACAACCGTTCTTCTACGATATTGTGTTAAGCTCTTTTACTTGTATCTATTGTCAACTTGTGACGTGGTCTTTAGCTCAATACCAGTCTTTCAGCTTTGAAAACAGCCCCCACCAAACAATAAGTGGGGCTGATGCTGTATTCCGATTCTTTGTTTAAACTACTAGGCAATAAAAGTTAATTTGAATTGTACTGACTTTATATTATCAAAACAGTTTAGTTGAACTCTGATGATTACTGTAAAAAAAACAGTATAACAACACAACATAAACTACAGTATAACACAGCATAAACTACTATATAACAACACAACATAAACTACAGTATAACACAACATAAACCACAGTATAACAACACAACATAAACTACAGTATAACAACACAACATAAACTACAGTATAACACAGCATAAACTACTATATAACAACACAACATAAACTACAGTATAACAACACAACATAAATCACTGTATAACAACACAACATAAACTACTATATAACAACACAACATAAACTACAATATAACAACACAACATAAACCACAGTATAACAACACAACATAAACCACAGTATAACAACACAACATAAACTACAGTATAACAACACAACATAAACCATTGTATAACAACACAATTACTGTATAACAACACAACATGAACCATTGTATAACAACACAACTACTGTATAACAACACAATTACTGTATAACAACACAACTACTGTATAACAACACAACATAAATCATTGTATAACAACACAATTACTGTATAACAACACAACTACTGTATAACAACACAATTACTGCATAACAACACAACTACTGTATAACAACACAACTACTGTATAACAACACAACTACTGTATAACAACACAATTACTGTATAACAACACAACTACTGTATAACAACACAACATAAACCATTGTATAACAACACAAAACAACATAAACGACAGTATAAAATAAATTCATCACTGAAGTTCTGTTAATTTACCTTAACTTTATGCAGGCTCCATAGTGCTAACTTTGGTAACCGTGTCACTATGTGTCTAAGCTCATCTCCTGTTAACTGGAATTCTTTCTGAAAGAAACCCAACCTTCTGTCAATTCTTTTAGTGCTAAATAACAACCAGAATGGTGCTTTAGACACTATACGAGTTATAGAATCTGTGGAAAACTTCTTTGACTCTAAATAGTTGACTCGAACTTGTAAGTCATCCAATGACTCTTTGAAGATTAGAGGGTTATGAGTCAAAAATGTCCCAAGCTCATCTGATGGAACACCTAGGTCATGCAGAAACTGGATGTGGTGTTTAATGTTTTTATCAAAATCCAACTTGAGAACAAATTTTGCCAACCCTGCCCGCTTCTCGATGCGAGAAAGATCAACTCCAAGCTTAACTAATTCCTGCAAAGTCCGAGAACGAGTTGCATAAGCGGCCAAGTTAAAAGAAGGAGATAAGACCGGAGCTAAGTTGTCAATAAATTCTGCCTCTAAAGATGATGATAAAGGATCATGTGGTAATAAGTCTAACTGGTTATTTGTTTCTTGAACTTGACTAACTGGATGAGGATCGAACTGTACATCCCTGTTTCCGTTCCCCAGAGTTTTCAAAATTTGAATAAATTTTCTTTAGTGATTGTTGTTGGATATTTTCCTTATTTGAATCTGTTCGGTTTTCATCAGTTTTTAGTACATAAGGCTGCTGGGTAATCTCTGATTTCAAGGTTTCAGATCCTGTCTTGTGCCTGATGGTATTCTTTTCCATCCATTCTTCTACTAAATGATCTGACTTACTTTCATGACTTTTACTTAATTCCTGTAAGTTTCTATTCACTGACGAGGTCTTAAGGTTTGGATGAGTTTCGTAGAACAAGTGTTGAAAGTATAACAGATCTTCGTTACTCTTCTTTTCTAGTAACCTGGAAAAATAAAGATTAATGAAAATAAAATTCCTTGAATAAACTAAGTTAATAAAGTTGTCTTAAACATAAAAATAATATTCTGTTTTAAACAAATTTTATAACTTGGACTTTGATTATAAATATTTACTATTATGTTCTGTTTTTGTTTTCATCTTGAAGATAAACAGAATATACCTGATATATGGATTTGGTAATAACGGAAGCCATTATACTGAGGACTAGCAAAAATTAGTTGTTTTTCTGGTTTCACAACATTGGTGAAAATAAGCAAAAATTGAATGACTTTTGTCAAAAATGTTCTAGATGACCTCACCTATAAACCTGAATTTCTTAAAGATCATAGTATATAAAATCACTTGTCAGTTTTATGTTAGTACGTGCACTGCTCATGACAAAGATTACCTGCATATATATATACCATTCTACAGCTGCAAACAGAAGCTAATTTTGTAATAATTTTAATAGATATAAGTCAGATTATCACACAGAAGCTAATTTTGTAATAATTTTAATACATATATGTCAGATTATCACACAGAAGCTAATTTTGTAATAATTTTAATAGATATAAGTCAGATTATCACACAGAACTACTTTGATAAAGTGCCAAAAGGTTTGTTGACCTCTAATACACATGTGGAATTCCAGTTCTGAATCATATGGCCAAATAAAACTATGTGATTTGAAATGATTCCTTTTGAAACATGGTCTACTCGGGAAGATCTGCTCTTAAGGGGTTAGAACAAGATACAGTACACTACACCATTTGATTTCTGGACAGATGTAATGACTGAAATAGTCATGAATTTCACCCTTCAATAAACAGTTTAGAATACATCTTTAGTCAGATACACTCAGATAAAGTTTTCTAAATTTTATATGCATGCAATATGACATTTTTGTTAAGCAAAATGTCTTAGGGGTGTATACACATACTGATTCTTTTACTCAGGTAAGAATTGTCTATGTCAATGGCTAGAAATTCATCACTTTGGTGCTAAGTTTGATCTTCTGGGGAAGGGTCAAGCCCATCTCAAGGAGTGGTGCAGATGCTTGTACAAATTAGAATGAGTTAGAGACATATGCAGCATTAGATTATGGAAATACCTCCCAGCACCAGCAGCAAGTACGGGCCTCTCAACCTGGTAACTACATGTTGATATATATTTTGTTTTAATTGTTCACTTGCGTGTGTGTGTGTGTTTTTCTGGTCTCTGCTGTCCAAGTTTGAAATAATTCTCTGCAGCACATTTCCTGAATATACATTTTGCAGATACTTTTAACCAGTGTTAATGAATACCACACAGATAAGATTGAAATAATCACAAGTCAGAGGTGCTCATAGTTTCTTCTGATCCACTTGCACAATGGTTATTAGAGATGACAGATTTTAATTTAGATAGTTTCAAAACTTGAATGGATGAGTTTAGTAATGATGGATGATGTTAATTGAAATATTCTGACAAATGATAGTCCACTGTCACAATAATTATGTATATTTTATCATTCCTTTATATCTATATAATAAATTCACATTCACATGCTTATATTAATTGGATCAATAACTACTCTCATGAATCAATGCCAAATGCAACCACTCTTCTAATGGGCTGACTTGGTGAAAGTAGCATTCTATGACAAAGCAAGTCAAGATAAATTAAACATATTAATTAAAAACTATGAATCACATTCTGGAAATTTCATAAATACACAATTTTTCTATAGAAGAGATGTGAAAACTAACCTGCACGTGGTTTCCATGAAGTGTTTCTGGTACACTTGGAAAGGAATCTTTGGAGCAATCAGTATTCTGGAGAAGAATCCTTGTTTCACAGACAGTCTCCTAGTTATTAACTGAAATCCTGTGATTCTCATGCTGAATTAATACCTGAAATAGATACACATAAAACAAACTGAAACCCTGTCATTTTCATTCTGATTAACACCTGAAACACACACATGCAAAAAAAGAAACTGAAACCCTGTCATTCTCATTCTAATTAACACCTGAAATACAAACAAAAAAGAAACTGAAACCCTGTCAATTTCATTCTGGATTAATACCTGAAATACAAAATAAACCCTTTCACAATATAGCTGATAGACATACAGTCTTCGATTACAAGTTTGATTTATCATCCTAAAGTAAGCTTACATTTAAAATATTATCATCCTAAGATGTACTAATATTTAATTAAAAATTAAAGTTAAAAAGGTGTTTTCTTCAGTAAGATACAAGTGCTAAAGTTTTATTTCAATTAGTGGCTACATTACCTTCTGTTTCAGTGACTGTCTATTAAAGTGAACTTGTACTGGTACCAAAGTACATGATTACATGAAAATCTTTATATGTAGAGCTTTTTAGTTTTTCGTGTTACATACCATCACAAAATCTAATGTTTAAAACTAATTATGAAAAGATATACATATATAAAGAAAGCTTGTTTTTTTTACAACAGGAGTACAATCTGTACAAATCAGAAACTACAAAATTTATTTTTCATTTATAAAATGATCAAGACATAATTAAAATTACAATAATATACAGACCACTTAAAAATGATAACACATTAACATTAATAGTTTAAATATAAACAAATGATACATTAAAAAATTTGAAACAATAGTTATTTTTACAACCAAGAGTAATAAGAGATCATAAAAAATAGATGTTTAAAATATTTTCTTTAATCACACTTAATTTTAGTAAACCAGGGGTGAACCTTGTTGATCATTTTAACCTTAGAAATCAACCTTAAGTTGTTAACAAGTTCTCTTCCTCACAGAGTTTAGTTAAATTTACAAAGAGTAAAAAAAAATCTAACAATAATATTTTGTTCTTTCATTAAAACTCCAAAAAAGTAAAATATTTCAAAACTGTTCACTAAATCGAAGTAAATCATGAGACAAACAACAAGAACAATGAAAAGTTTACCAATAGAAAGATTGATATCCGATACTTATGCATTCTTACAGTATATCTACGTAATTCTTTCTCCAATATGCAATTTTCCACAAACCATATTGATAAACTGTGATAAATGTAGTTGTCAGTTACATGTGTAGAAACAGTTTCTTCCTTTTGACCTTAACGATATTTCCTTACTGGAGATATTCATTGCCAGTTATTTGCATCCTTACATACCAAACTGGATTTCTTATAAATTAATAAAAACTCAATGCATGGTGAAGTCAAAGGGGCTCCTGGAGACAAGAAGGGGGTCAGATCCAAACCCTCCTATGTCATTCTCCACAGGTACTAGGGGTATATGTCAAGTTTGGTGACAATTGACTCGGTAGTTTACCAGTAACAAGTTGACACACCCTAACTTTTGTGAAATAATAATTATTATAATTTGATTGTTGTGACCCTTTATGATCTTACTGTTGACCAGTATATTGTTAAATGTTTTGGTCGACAAGTTTGTAAAATATTGAACTATATATTACTTACATTGTATTTATTGATAACGTTTTCTAACTGTTAAAGAAACCAAACTTGTTGTAGTTTCTGAATGACAAAATATTTTCAAACAAATCCTACAACGAACCTAACAAACACGTTAATATCAGAAAATAAAGAGTATTTTTTTAGTACATTCACAAAATATATTAACAATTTAAAAATGGCAGGCTCAGATTTTTACGTACCACACAACTGAACATTTACTCTTAACGGAGTGTGAGTTGACTAACTGGAGAGACAGTTCCACTGAAATATAAACAAAATAATACTTAACAAAGACATGAAGAAATACCATGTAATAACTTAATAAAACATGTTATAGAAAAATCCAAGACTGGAGTATGAGAATACAAATACTTGTGTAGTAAGTGTTTATCAAAGTTCAACAGAAAAGGTTATCCAAGCTTAACAAAGAAAGATGTCCAAGTAGTGACTACTGATCAGCCATCTTAGTTTGGATGTCAATGAGATGGACATTAGATGACTTGTGTTGTTATTAAACCAAAGTGATATTTCAGCTGTCTTGCTGAAGTGCTAACTTTCTCAACTGGAATGTTACAATTAATATAACTTGTAGTAACTCATTCATGGTGTTTGATTTCATAAATGAGCCCGAAAGAGTTTAGTGAAATAACCATTAAAACAATACTTTATACTAGTAATAATTCATTCATGGTGTTTGATTTCATCAATGAGCCCAAAAGAGTTTAGTGAAATAACCATTAAAACAATACTTTATACTAGCAGGCTCTCCAGCAGTATATTATAAAAAACTAGGAGAAAACTAGGAAGAAACAGCACAAAAAACTAGGAGAAAACTAGGAAAACTAGGAAGATATTGTAAAAACTAGGAACTATTTTAAGTTATCAATTTACCTTGTCATCTTTGCTTATACAAATTTACCATGCATGCAGGTGCAGAGGCTGTTGAGCTGACTAT